TGAGAGAGTGTGTGTGAGAGAGTGTGTGTGTGTGTGTGTGTGTGTGTGTGTGAGTGTGTGTGAGAGAGTGTGTGTGTGTGTCTGTGTGTGTGTAACAGTGTGGTAGTATTAGTGTATGGAGGCTGTTTATGTAGCTGCTGACTGGATCTGCCCTCTGAATCTTTCTTTGTGCTGTTCGACCAAACACAGCAAGTTTTTATTTGCACCATATTCATACGAAGTCACTTCAAATACAGTAGCAGTCATATTTCAAATGTAAGCAATTTTCTGTTATTATTTTATTTCTTATTAACCCAACAACGTGGCAGTATGATAATAAGGCGTATCCTGCAGATGGCACCCAGCTACCCTGGCAGTAGGGGTATAAGGAAATATGGATACACCTGAGTATGGCAATATTTATGTATTGTGATATTGTATTGATTCTCACAAGCACTGAATCTATTTTTGTGTGGAAACACCCAACTGTAAGACAGCAGTGTTGTAAAGTGAGTGCTATGATGTTGGATGTTACAGAGACTGTGATAAATACAAATGCACAGCCCACTCTTCGTGTAAAAAAACTCAGATTTGATGCATATGGTGGTGTTCTTTAAATGAGTTTTCCAAGAATCTGAATCACAATATATCGCAGTATGTATCAAAGTCCTACCTGACAGTTCTACACTACACTACACACCGATCCTTAATCTCCAAATTGCACTAAACAATTCATGACTTATGATCAGGCTAATGAAGGGATGACAGTGCAGGCTTGGAATGGTTCAAGTCAGAGTTGAGAACATTGGCCGATTAATCGCTTAATTAATGTCAAATATTCTCTTCTTCCTCTAACTTGTAAGGATTTGCTTATTGTTGGTCTTATGTGATACTAAACCTAACATTGTGTCTTTATTTTTCAAGGCAGAAATGCCACATACTATATACACATAATGTAGCTTGTCAACTATGAGTGTTTGCTGGTTCTCTTATTATTCTTTAATAGAAAATGGAATACCTTTTTTTTAGACTGCTGGTCAGATAAAATAAGCAATTTGATTTGACTGCACTGCAACCAACAATTATTTTCATTACTCATTAATCAATTGTTTTGTACAATGTCACAAGAAAGTGAAAATGCCCTTTGTAATCTGCCACAGGTGGTCCAAAACCTAACCTGACTAATTTCATCCTTTGGCTGATTGGATTAGAAAGAATTAGTGATAAGAAAGATGGTTGTCAGTGGTTGTCCTCTTCAGCTGAAGGATTTACAGATAAAACCAAAAGATAGGGCTGTGTTGTACTGTTGTTGGACATGAATTGTGGGGGAAAAAAAAAAAATGAACGAACTGTTCAGTGTTGAATGTGTATGTTTGTGTGAGTTCATGTGCATACAGTATAGCATCTTGTATGGCATCTAGCATGAAGATTTCCAGAATTATACAATAGTCAGTTATTGATTTACTGATGCCATCTTTGTTTTTGTCTGTTGCATGTTATGTGTCTAATGATAAAGGGTCGGTTGACAAGTAACAACTCACCCTGTTACACCTAGGTTTTTGGTTTAATTGGTTGTGAGATATCTGTCACTGAGATTTCTACCTCCACCTCAATAATGGAGGTAAACTGGATTTAGTTTCTTGTGCTTACAGCATTAACATGCAACATATGTTTCCAGAAACAGCATCCCTGTTAGTCTGGATAAACCTCAGAACAGTGTTTCTTTCATTGGGACTATTTATCAACAGAAAGTAGTTCCAGTGAAAACCTTTTTACACAGGATATCACAATTTAGTTTGTCATTTGTGTGAACTGACCGTTGTACTTCAGGCCGCGCAGTGACGACTAAAACGATAACCATCACTATTGTGATCACAATCATTCACCCTCACTCTAAAGGATTCTTGTAGGAATAAAATAGGATATTACACTTTTAATGTTTTACTTTCAAAAAACTGAATGTACACATTTGTTACATAACATGCAACCAGATAAAATCATTCATCCTCTCATTGGAGATGTAGTTAATTTCCACTTGCAGGTTGTCTGTGTTGTGAAAACGCGCTCGCCTGCAGCTCTGAAGTGGAGAGCTGTTAATCACAGTGTACTTGAAGTAATCACCTGTGATTTGTTTAACCGTGGATAGGAGGCTTGATTCGGTGCAGCAGAGTAGGCACTCTAGTTGTGAACCATTGTGTCAATATTGCACCTTATCAAATGTAATAAACTGTGGAAGTCAAAACTGTGATCTTGCTTATTGTCCATCTGCTGTTTCAGATTTGATCGTACAGGCGAAGTCTGGCACGGGGAAGACGTGTGTGTTCTGCACCATCGCCCTGGACTCTCTGATCCTGGAGAATCCTGGAACTCAGGTGAGCGGATTTAAATCCAGTGGCGATCAAGGCGACCAGTGGAATATGGAGAAATGTATCTTTCCTGTTCTTTTAATGTCAGTGTTGCATGTGTCTGACTTCAGCCATCTTCTAATGAATAATGATGAAAAGAAGGTATTCAGAAGTGGAAACACAACTTTTATTTTTTTTTTAACTTTATCACTCTGCTCATTTTACCAACAACAGATGGTCATGAGAAGTAATCACTTTGGTTTTGGGGGGTTCTTAAATGTGATGACTTTAAGCTGCTCAGTGACAATGAATAAATGAAAGAGGACAATTATTGATGAAGCATAAAGGTCTTGTTGATGAACGGGCTGCATTCTAGTGCACTGTAATCGTATTAGCTGTGGGGTCTTACAGATTGGGAACTATCCCTACCTATCCTTAATCTGCCCCCAATTAAATCCAAGTGGTTGTTGACATCTAATTTTTTCTCCACAAATGCCCCCCCCAACTCCCCACTCCTGCAGGTTCTTGTCTTGGCTCCTACACGTGAGATAGCGGTGCAGATCCACTCCGTAGTGATGGCCATAGGCTGTGCCATGGAGGGCCTTGAGTGCCATGTCTTCATCGGAGGCAGGCCCGTGAGTCAGGACAAACCCCATCTGAAGAAGTGCCATGTAGCTGTGGGCTCACCTGGTAAGAGGCCAACAGCGAGGCATTACGTGTTTATCTAACCAACATGCTGTTATTTGTGTTTTGTAACTATGCTCCCGGTTATGTACACAGGTCGTATCAAGCAGCTTATCGAGCTGGGCATGTTGTCCACCGCCAGCATCCGACTGTTTGTTCTGGATGAGGCAGACAAGCTGCTGGAGGAGGGCAGCTTCCAGGAACAGATCAAGTAAGATGGACGGAGACATCCTTAATCATACTCCTATTTAATTAGACACATGATGCGACAGCAGGCCGGGGATGTTATTCAGAGTGTTTAAAAGACTTAAGACCTTCAAAACAAATCTGCATGAATGAAAAATCACATCTCCGCCACTCTCTCTCCAGCTGGATCTTTTCCTCTCTGCCTGTGAACAAACAGATGCTCGCACTCTCCGCCACCTACCCAGAATCCCTCGCTCAGCACCTTACCCGCTACATGAGAGAGCCCACGTTTGTGAGACTCAATCCAGGTGACATGGGCCTTAAAGGTAAGACCTTGCTCTGTACTGAGATTACAGTTGCCACAAAAAGCTGAGGGGGGAAATCCTATAAATCCTATATAAATGGTTTAAAGCATCACTTTATATCAGACAAATTAGTTGACCTATCCACTATATCTAGATTACATATTTAGACTGCAGAGTGTCAAATGAACGCCTGTCCTGGCTAACAGAGACGTCCCATAATAGGACAACAAGGACGGGATAATGAAGCTTGTAATGTGACATGTTTTAAAGGCTTATTTCCTGGCAGAGAATGTTATTTCTTCCTGAGGGTGTGAAGTTTGACAGTAAGCAAAGAGTAACACAAGGCTCGCTCTGAAAACAGTCATCTCTTTGACAGAATACTTACTCCAATGTTTGTAACGGACTTTTCTCACACTGTGTACAAAGTGAACGGTGGAAAATCCCACCAAAATCACTTTGGATGATTTGCTTGTCCCCTTGCAAAAACACTGTTGTTCTTTTCAGTCGTTTAAACTTGAGTTGACATTCTCCGTTGTATGTTGTCATGGGCGCCCCCTGCCAGGTCTGAAGCAGTATTACAAGCTGGTGCAGTCCCATCCTCTAGCTCACAAGGTTTTCGAGGAGAAGGTGCAGCACTTGATGGAGCTTTTCAGTAAAATCCCATTCAACCAGGCCCTGGTGTTCTCCAACCTACACACAAGGTGACACATGCTGTTAATGGGTGCTCTTGATGACCTTTAAAACAAAAATCTCAGTTGTGCATTTTCTCTTTGCCTGATTTTAAATTGATACTGAACATTCATAAGATCTGATTGCTGATGAGTTGATGATGCATCTCTGAGAAACACTTTGTTAAACACTGTCGCTCTGTATTGCTCCCGCAGGGCTCAGCACCTGGCAGACATCCTGTCCTCCAAAGGATTACCTGCTGTTTGTATCTCAGGTGAGAGGACCTTTGGAAAGTATTAATGAAATGATTAATCAACAGAAAATCCCGTTTTATATTACCTTACTTTTCTGTCTTTTGTGTGGTATCTGTCTATCTGGGGTTGGGTCATTTGACATCTCATAAATGTTGCAATTAATTGATTACATGAAAAAATAATTGATTGTGAATATCATTGATGTGATTCAGGCCTGTTGCTGGCTGTCTGTCTTAGCAGTTGCTTTCAGTTGATCTGATCTGATGTGACTGTGTGTGATGACCTGTACAGGTGGTCTGAGTCAGGACCAGAGACTGGAGGCGATGTCAAAACTGAAGCAGTACCAATGCAGGGTGCTCATCTCCACTGACCTGGTGAGACACACACACATCGTCTCCATTGTGCTGCTTTCAATATGTCACCCATCACTAGTGTTCTTGTCTTCCTGTATTTCTGATCGGCTTCTGTTCAGCTTCTGTTCTTTAATCCCGGCTGTTTCTCTCTCTGTCTTTTCCTTCTCGTCAGACTTCCAGAGGTATAGATGCAGACAAAGTAAACTTGGTGATAAACCTGGACGTGCCGCAGGACTGGGAGACCTATATGCACCGAATCGGACGGGCGGGGCGCTTCGGTTAGTCTCCAACATCGTTTGGTTATAGCAGAACACAAGCACACTCACTTAAACTAAAAGCACAGTCTAAAATAGCTGAAAAAGTTTTTGCTTGTATTAAAAGAGGAAAGCAAATGCTTTGTTGTGCTGCATTCATTCATTCTTATTTTTCCATTCAGTCAGAATTTTCTTAACATTGCCAAAAAAAAAAAATCCAATCTTACACAGACTATTGTTGATGTTCAGTTTTGTAGCCCACATAGAAATCACTTTCTCAGCCGGTGGCATTTGTTTGTATAAAAAGTCTGTCATGTTGCTCTGGATTAGACTGGATTTGCCTGGGCAGTGAGCATTTCCTGGTTCTTTCTTACTGCATTAAACACCATTTTGAGATTAGCTTGGGCCTTTGGAGTATTACAGGGTTGACCCACCTAGCAAGGTCAATAGGTTTCCTAATGATCTGCATTTAATTATAATTATCTTGACTTAACTTGTGCGTTGTCTTGGAAACAGAAGGTAATTCAATCTTTGCTTGCACACACGCTGCCTTTGTGTGTACGTGTGTGTACGTGTGTGTGTACGTGCCATCCCTGGACGCACAACTCGCACACACACCCTTCTTTTATCCCTTCCTGTTATTTGTAATGGGTTCTCATCAGGATTACATTTTATTTGTAGGCACTCAGGGGCTGGCGGTGACCTACTGTTGCCATGGTGAAGAGGAAAACAAGATGATGGCTATTGCTCAAAAGTGCGGCCTAAGTTTGTCTGCGTTGCCATGTGAGTTTTTCATGCAACAGTGTAACTTTTTCCTCTTTGACATTAAATGAAAGCCTTTGTTTTAATGTGGATAGTGGAAGCAATTCTGGAAGTCTCATCTCTCTTCTGTCCTTTGTAGCCATCATAGAGCCAGGGTTGATGGATGAGCCGTGTGACTGGGATGTCTGCACTGAGGCTGCCACCCCGGGCGCCTTATCCCAGCTCTCCTCCAGGACGGATAAGAAGAGGCGTACCAGGTTGGTCACGGATCAAGCTCTAGAGCACAGCGGACAAAGAAAGCCACAG